GCTTGCATTTCTGTTTACTGATATTAAAAGACAAAAAGCTCAGACAGTTATTGCTCAAGTGTCAGAGCTAACAGAGGAGGAAGAGGAGCGCAGGGTCGGGATCTGCTCCTGTGTTTTGTTTTCCAGGACAGACACCTGACTGTATCCTGGAGAGACTCCTGACTCTCCCATAACCGCCGCGGCCCGGGGGCGGATTTACTGCTCTCAGATCAGCGCTGCACGTGTTTGCTCATTTTGCGTGTTGTGTTAGTTAATTGCGCTCTCTAATGCGGCTTTTTTTTTTTTTAGAAGAGAAAAATACACCAAAAAAATCTGAATTGAATATGTAAAATACTGTAGTAGGATTTTAGTACCGTTTGAAATGTGTACATACTGTTGCATAACAAAAACAACAACAAAATTACCGTCTTGTGCGTTATGTTAATTAGGCTACTTTGTGCATTATAAAGCGACATGGTTACACTTTATAATAATAGTCATTTAGTTAACATATTTACTAACATTAACTACGCATGAATAATCTTGGAAATCATTTATTAATCATAGTTCGAGATTAACTAATGCTTTATTAATATCCAAAGTTGTGCTTGTTAACTCTAGTTAATGGACAGTGCAGTTAACCTGAACTTTAAACATTAACGTTAAAAATAATGAATGAATACCGTAATAAAAAACATTACTAATAGTTTGTTCATGTTAGCAAATAAATTAACTATTGGACCATTATTTTAAAGTGTTACCTGTGAATTTTTTTTTTTTTTTTACAAAAATCAGGATTTAATCTGTAACGAACTGGAATACAATAGGGTATTAATAGGCTACCGTTTTAAATAGTTGCACATAGGATAACAAAAAACAACAACAAAAATGACAAAAGTAAATAGCAGTAAAAGACAGGAAGTAGAGTAATGCTGATTTTCTCTGGTGTGGATCAAACTTTGTGACGTCAGAATGTTAAGAGAAGTAAAGAGTGAGCATGCTAAGCTTGAATGGCAGTGAATTTTGTTAAGAGTCTTTCGCGAATTGTGCACAGTATTAGGCCTATTTGTAAGACGTGAACGTGAAGCTGCATGTGCATGGACACTTTAAATTAAATTAAAACTTAAAAAGAAACAATTGATCACTTTCATAATTCAGACATGAATATGCATGTAAACAAGTATATTAAAATGTGAATTTAAAATTATGTATTAATGTAGTTTTTTTGTTTGATTAATCAATGCTATATAACATAAATTTAATAAATAAAATTTGTATATTTATACATTTAAAATGATTTTTAATGCATTGTTTTATTAAATGACATTTTAAAGCATGGATAAAGTAAAGCTTTAAATTTGTCAATATTTCTACATTAAAAAATATTTTTAAGTGCATTGTTAAATTAAGTCACATTTTAAACCACTAATTAAATAAACAGCTCCAAATTTGTCTATATTTATTCATTTAAAAAAACATTTTAATCAATTATTTTATTAAACTACATTTTACAGCATGACTGAAATAAACAGCTTTAAAATTGTCTATATTTCAATTATATTTTAAAGCGCGAATTAAATAAATATAAATTTGTCTATATTTATACATTTAAAATTATTTTTAAATGCATTGTTATATTAAGTGACATTTTAAAACACATATTAAATAAACACATTTAAATATATCTATCTATTAATTCGACAACTTTTTGTTGTCAGATCAATCAACTTTTTAAAGCACGAATTAAATAAACTGCATTATATTTTTGTCTGTTTCGTTAGACACTCAAAAACATGTTTTATTAAATTACATTTAAAACATGCATTAAAAGAAGACATGTTAATATAGGATTTATATTCGTTTGTCAGTTTAAAATATATTTATTTATGTGATTTATTAAACTAACAATGATTCTTCATTTTATTTTTCTTTCATTTTGACACTTTTATGATCAAAACATTATTTAAATGTGCTGCCTGGGATATTAGCATCAGTTAAATACAGCTATAGGGCTGTTCCTATAATCTAAACATTATTTTAGCATAATAAACTAACTTCAGTCATCAGTCATTCACTTTGTGAACGCAAAGCTTAAAGCAGTGCTACATCTCCCTCTGCTGGAGAAAACACAAACATGATAATCAGACAAGCACTTTTACTACAAGGAGGTCAAATTTGTTAACCTATATTGTTGTGCACATTAAATTAAATTGACCAAAAGTAATTTTATTTACATGGAAACATATTACATGCAAGTAAATATCTGCTTTAAATGGATAATTCACATAAAAATGGCTGTCATCATTTAGCTACTCATCCTCCATTCATGGGCGAGGCAGTGGCGCAGTAGGTAATGCTGTCACAGCAAGAAGGTCACTGGGTCGCTGGTTTGAGCCTCGGCTCAGTTGGCGTTTCTGTGTGGAGTTTGCATGTTCTCTCTGCATTCGTGTGGGTTTCCTCTGGGTGCTCCGGTTTCCCCCACATTCCAAAGACATGTGGTACAGGTGAATTGGGTAAGCTAATTTGTATGTAGTGTATGAGTGTGAGTGTAAATGAGTGTGTGTGGATGTTTCCCAGAGATGGGTTGCGGCTGGAAGGGCATCCGCTGCGTAAAAACTTGCTGGATAAGTTGGCGGTTCATTCCACTGTGGTGACCCAGTATTAATAAAGGGACTTAGCCGACAAGAAAATGAATGAACCCTCCATTCGTTTCCAAACCTTTTCTCTTTTTGTAATTGAGAATGCTGGTAAAGACTTTTCCTTACTACGGGAAAATGTTTTGTTTGGTTTTGTTAATTATAAAACAGAAGCTATAAATAAAAAGAAAATATATTTTCTTAAAATATATACATAAATGTAAATTTTCAAACCAAAAACCTTTATATATATATATATATATATATATATATATATATATATATATATATATATATATTGCTTACTGAAATGCAGTATTAGTTTGAAACTGTTTCTAACTCTTTTACAAAAAAGGCTTTAAAAACAACTAAAATTTGTAAATGATACATACTTTTTCTTTAATGTGTAATGTATATACCCCTTCTGATTGTTTTTATTTTGTTTTTTGTTGTTGTTGTTTTTGTTTAGTTTTTTTTTTTAAATGTGTTCTTTTTGTCTCTCCATTTTCTTTTTAATGTACTATGATTGTATATTCTCATTTTTCGCATAATAATAAAAAATAAAAAAAAGTTTCCAAACCTGTTTGAGTTTCTGTTGAACACAGAGAAAGTGGACAAACTAAACAAAAACAGTCACTGACTTCCATAGTATTTTTGTTCCTAATACAGAAGTCAATGGCTGCTTTTTCCCAACATTCTTCAGCACTTCATGTTTTGTGTTCAACAGAAGAACGAAATTAAAGTGGGGTGAAATATTCCTTTAATGTTTCAAACAACAAGGGTGAAATCATGTCAAATATTCAGTAAACATTCAAGCCATTCAGCAAAACAGGAAGGCTTTTGTTCATTTATTCATTTAATTTTATTTTTAACAATTAAACATAGCTATTATGACTTATTATTAATGTATTCATTAATTTTCTTAGGCTTAGTCCATTTATTCATCTGAGGATTAGCCACAGCAGAATGAACCACCAACTTATCCAGCATATGTTTTATGCAGCGGATGGCCTTCCAGCTGCAACCCAGTATTGGGAAACACACATACACGCATGTCTTTGGACAGTGTGGAAAAAACCCATGCCAACCTGGGGAGAACATGCAAACTCCACACAGAAACGGCAACTGAAAAAAAAAAACATTGACTGCATCACTCAGCGATGCAATGTCAGACACAATGCACTCAAATGGAGCTAGTGACGTCACTGTGACGGGTAGGGTTAGGTGAGCCCATTAAAAAGCATTGGATGCAGCAGATTGCACTGCACCAGGTCTGCAGCCAGACCCCTCTCTGTTTTTCTGGTATGACCATTCGGCTTAGTGGATTGATTTAATTTTTATGGTCCAAAAATCAGGCGACGCAGTGGCGCAGTAGGTAGTCGCCTCACTGCAAGAAGGTCGCTGGTTCGAGTCTCGGCTGGGTCAGTTGGTGTTTCTGTGTGGAGTTTGCATCTTCTCTTGCGTTTGCGTGGGTTTCCTCCGGGTGCTCCGGTTTCCCCCACAGTCCACAGACATGCGGTACAGGTGAATTGGGCAGGCTAGATTGTCCGTAGTGAATGAGTGTGTATGGATGTTTCCCAGAGATGGGTTGCAGCTGGAAGGGCATCCGCTGCGTAAAAACATCTGCTGGATAAGTTCATTCCGCTGTGGCGACTCCAGATTAATAAAGGGACTAAGCCGAAAAGAAAATGAATGAATGAATGAAAATCAGGCGACACTGTGGCTCAGTGGTTAGCACTTTTACCTCACAGCAAGAAGGTCACTTGTTCGAACTGGGTCAGTTGTCATTTCTGTGTGGAGTTTGGAAGGACTAAGCCGATGGAAAATGAATGAATGAATGGTCTAAAATTAACGTTTTGTGCAAGAAATTTACCTTTAAAAAACGAGTATTTTCAAAACTTTTTAGCTTCTTACATAAACTTTACATGAACAATTATATGTGATAATTCAACTTATCTTTACAAAAACTAAAAAATAAATAGTACTATAATTTATATTAGGTCTAACGTTAGTTAACATTGAAATGAAATAGCCGAATAGCCTAAATAAAAAGTTATATAACATAATTAGCTCCTAATTGTAAAATTAGTTAGCTATTCTAGTTTTAGTAGCCTGTTACTGTTAGTAGACCTAGCCTATTTTAAAAATGTATATATTTAGCAGCGTAGTTTAGCTTAAGCAGTGCTGCTAATGTCATATTATGTGCTTCGAACTTAAATGTACTGAATCAGAAGGTAATATTAATCAAAAAAGCTGCTAATAATACGAGAATTATACATATTCAGCAACGTAAACAAACCGTGATCACACTGAAGTGAATTCCTACCACCTACGTCACGGTCATGGAGTTCCCTCATAGGTTAGTTGAAACGCGGTCACGTGATCTTACAGTCGGTCGGTGCACTCGCTAGTAACTGAAGTAGGACAGTAGTTTACTCTGCAAACAGTGAAGTACTCAGTGTTTACGAACATACACCTCGTTGTTTTCAACAGAGAGTCCTTGTTCTCGTGTGTAAATAGAGCTCATTGACAGCAGAGATACCGCAGTGCCTCAGACGGGATGGTTTGCTTTGTTACATATTAGAAGCGGATTGATCACAGGTAACGTTAACGTTGTTGTTGCTTTTCTACACATTTGCCTTCTTTACGTTTGTGTTATGTTGACAAAAGAGTTGTGCTTGGACATTCAGTATGTGTCAAGTATGAACGTGTGTTTTGTTAGATGTACAGTACACTAACGATAACAAAAATAGACTGGGGTTGCGTGTCAAACTCTAACGAGCATTACCTAACGTTACATAGGCGCGTCCCAAAGACGCTAACGTTATTTTATCTGGGTTACCAGCTCACAGGGTTAAATATTCAGTTTATCAGTCAATTTACATACGATACTACAGTGTGACAGGGTTTAAGAAGTGCGTTTGTAATGTTTGAGTACAAATGTTAAAGAATTAAACCGAAACACGTCAGGTTCAGATCAGAACTATTCATTCAATAAAGTTGCAATGATATTCTGGTTATTGCATATTCACTTTTATCCAAAGACTCATGTTAACAATTTATTTAACAAGTTTCAAACTTCTTTGTCCTTATTAACCCTTATATTATTGCATAAAGGGTTATAAAACATTTCTTTTAAAACGTGAAAGCTTATTTAGACAGATTAATTTTAAAAAGATTTATTTGTTTAAAATCATATTTAATATATAATTTATGACTTGTTTTGTATAGGCTGATTCAGAAACCGTCTGTAGCTTGCAATTATTTATATGTTCCCCAAAAGGAGAGTTTTCGAGGTAAATAATACACACAATACAATAATAAATAATACAAAGACTTGATCGTGTTTTATATGAAAACAAGGAACAATGTTTTAAGGAATAGGCATGTCAATAAAGGCTTTTAAATATTTTTTCCACATTTTTTGAGTGCCTTGGACTTATTTTTGTTGTTTATTCTGATGAATTCCTTACCCAAAGAGCACTGACACATTAATTAAGCTACCCCTGACCACTTTTTGTTTGATTTTGTATTTTTATCCTACTTTCTCTTTTCTACTTCAAAATTTCATGCAAATCACAAATTTTATGACTTTAACAGACCTGAATATATCTACACTACAGATTCCATTAGTATGTCTTAAATTAATTTTAAAAATCTGAACTGCGATGCAATAAAATGAATATTATTTTTGCTACAAAAAGTAAACACCAGTTGCTTCATATTATTAAATATTAAAATATGAAACTTAATTCTTACATTTACAAAAGATTTCACTAATTTAATTCGAACTAAGTTACTCTTTCCATGTTACAATGATATTTTTGTGATAGCATCTTCAATTATATTAAAAGCCACAAGTTTTTAACTTTTTAAAAGAATTTCAAATGCATTTGTCCTTAAAAAATTGTCAGTTTAAAAATGTTTTTTAAACCTGTCCTGAAAGCTTATTTGGACAAAATAATTTAAAAAGTCATTTTTTAGAATCATCTTTGATATATAATTTTTGAATTATATAATATAGAATGGTGCAGAAAGACACTCACATTATTTATACGTTGACTGAAAATTTATTTGATTGAGGTTTCGAGGTAAATATTACACAGGATCGTATGATATATGAAAATGCTACTTTTACCTTTCTACTCATTTCTACTCTGACATTTCATGCAAATCATAGACCATTTTGAGGCATTTAATCAATAACAATGGCCCTAATGTATTTCCTGTTTTACTTTTTTAATTTCCATAGCTTCAGAAATTTAAAAAAAGATCTGCATATTGATAAATGATGTTAGGATAGCTGTTTTAATGTTAGGTTATCGTTAAATTGTCTCTTATTACAGGTATGAAATAGTTTGATACCAAGCAGGAAATGTTCATGGGCCAATGGCACCACCACATTAAAAGGGTCTAGATTTATGACTGTAGCAGACCTGCATACACCTATAGATTCCAGTAATATAGTAAATATTGTAATAAAATAATATAGTAATATAATATAATATAAAAATTTTTTTATCAAAACTCAATGCAATAAAGTAAAGATATTTATTTTTATTACAAAAAGTAAACACAAGTTGCTTCATACTAGTAAATCATGAAATATTAGTAATATGAACTCAATTCTTATGTTTCCTTGATTAAAAAACAGTAAAAGTAATTATTCACATTAGAAAAAACCTATTTGTGATTTGTGAAAGAATATTTAGATGATAAAATATAGTGTGTATTTTTGATCAATGGATTATTATTTAGTATTATTAACTAATTAATTATATATATATATATATATTGAATTGTTTTATCATTATTGTTATCATATTTTCTTTCCGTATTTGTTTGTGTACTTGATGTTAAGCTGTTTATTTTTATTAAGTGTGTCATTCTTGTTATACGTGATGCACCACCGTGTCAGATTGAATTGCCCCAAGGGGATTATTAAAACTTTAAACTCAAATGACATAAGCGAACATTTTTATTCAGGAAATATTTTAAAGGAACTGTTTAAAAAGGATGGATTTCTGTTATATATTGTATACTTGATATAGGTTTTGCTATGAAGATAGCCAGTGCTGCTGATATGGCATTAAAACATAAATAAATACATTTCACATCAGAAAAACACACAACTAAACTGTCAGTCAGACGACCGAAGGAATGCAGTAGATTGTGTGCATGCAACAGGTTTGTTCAGTAAAGATTTGATCATGTTGATATGCATGCCGTGTCTTGTTTTTCCATCATGTTTCCTTTAAAATTCATGCATTAAATATGAATGATACAGTAGCGTAACCCATCCTAAAATGGGTTGAACACAGCGCAGCCATTCACACATGATAAATGAAAGTTCAATTTCTTGCATTTCCTCCAGAAAGCACCATCACGTTACTGTCAGGAAGCCTGTCATGTGACTCTCTCAACCTGCTCAGCATCTGCATTTCTTCATTCTCCTTCCATCTTCAAAAGCACTTCCACTTTTAAGTCAGATGACTTGCCAGAATGCATGTGAGAGATTTGCCAAGCTCATCAAGACCCGCGGCTCAGTCACCAGGTTGTTAGCCACTAATGCTGACGTCTGGCTCTTTTTGGATAATGAGCTGGCAAAAAGGGCCTGTGTCTATACAAATGCTGGACACATGAGGGAACAATGAGCGGCGGCATACATGAATGTGCACAAATGTTCACCACACAGTCTACATGCTACATGAACACAGCTAAACGGACTCTTCTTGTGTTTTTTTAGGATTGCCTTTTTTATTTCTTCCGAATGTGCTGCTGACTTTTGACAGAATGAAGTCTGATATACCATACGAAAAGGTAGGTTATACACTATTAGTCAAAAGTTTGGATTTATTATGATTTATTTATGCTTTAAAAAGCAATTCTGCTCACCAAGGCTGCATTTATTTGATTAAAAATACAGAAAAATGCTGTCAAATTGTGAAATATTATTGTGAATTTAAAAAGCTGTTTTGTTGTTGAATGTAGTTTCAAGTTTAATTTATTCCTGTGATTCAAAGCTGAATTTGCTTCATCATTACTTCAGTCTTCAGTGTCACATGATCCTCCAGAAATCAGTGTAGTGTGAGGATTTGCTGTTCTGTTATGATCCATTATTATTGGTATAATAGCAATAATTATGATTTGTAAATTGATCAGTGCTGAAAATGTTTTATGTCTTGCTTCATACTATCCTGGAAACTGGGATCTGTTGTACTTTTTTATTTTATTTTTTACTTTTTTACCAAATGTATTTATAAAAAATTTGTGTAGATATCATATACATAAAAAGATAAGTAACATACTGATCTGCTTTTTCACAACCAAGAAATAATGACTGATAAAAACTATGTAATTAAATAAGACAGTAAATGTAAAAAATAAATAAATGATAATATTGGCATTATTCTTTTTATGCTTTAAGATCAATAGTGTTGATGTAGTTCAACAAAGTTTTCCATCTGTTGTAAAGTGATTTTAAAGACCTTCCTAATGAAAACCTAATTTTTCCAGTTTTAAACACTAATTTTTTATTTTATTTTATCCATCTGTGATATCAGGGGTGTCCAAACTCGGTCCTGGGGGGCCGGTGTCCTGGAGAGTTTAGCTCCAGCCCTATTCAAACACACCTGAACCACCTAATCAAGCTTGTTCTAGGTATACTACAAACCTCCTGGCAGGTGTGTTGAAGCAAGTTGGAGCTAAACTCAGCAGGACAACGGCCCTCCAGGACAGAGTTTGGACACCACTGTGTTATTTGAAGGTGGAGATGTTTGTTTCCACTTAAGGAGAATAAGCCTCCTAGTCAATAATGTGGTGAAAGGATTACTTTTTTTAGGATTCTTTGATAAAAAGGAAGTTTAAAACATTTTTGTGATGCCATAAATGTATTTACTTTGACGCTTTAACAATATATTGTGATGAATAAAAGTAAATACATTTTTACTATTATTTACTATTACTATTTTTACTATTTACTATTTTTACTATTATTTTAGTACTGAGAATGATATTTGAATGATAATGTATTGATAATGTAATATAATGTAATGATAATAAATGATATTGTATAATTTTCCTAAACTGACAACAACAATATTAATAATAACATAGTTACTGGAGCAGATCATGATACTACCATATTTGAAGGATTATGTGACACTGAAGACCAATTATGCTTAAAATACAGTCTTAAACCATAAGAATTAATAATACAGTTTTAAGCTACATTCAAGAAAATAATAATAAAAAGTTATTTAATATTGCAATAAATAAATTAAGAAAAAAATGCAGCCATTGTGAGCAATATATATATATATATATATATATATATATTTTTTTTTTTTTTTTTTTATTTAATCTTAGGAATCACATCATTCAGTTCAGTGACCTCTAACGGACATTTCATGAGTTATCAGATCTTATCAGATACATTTGGCCAAGACAAGCCGGATTTTTACAGATACTTGAAAGTTAGAGATTTTTTAATAAATAACAAAAAAATGATAATAAATTTAAGGATGATTTTTAATTTGATCACAGTTTTTTTGGACGCACACATAAAAGAAGAAAACAAAAAACTGGTCTCTAAATGATATGAATGCATACAAAACAATAAGACTCATTCATCAAATTCCATAAAACAAAAATGGTAGAGAGTCAAACCAACAAATAACAGAGGAAGACTGGACAGATATGTGTGTCGCACATGCAAAAAACACAAACTCGAGAGCTTGGAGAGAGTTTGGATGGAAAAATCTGATGAGGTTCTTCTTAACTCTTAAACTGTCTTCATTGCGTACAGGTGTTGAAAGTTTGGGCCCTTGTTGGAGACAATGTGGAACCTTAATGGCTAAACATTTTCACATTTATTTGGTTCAAAAATACATGTCTGGTATGAAATAATGACTGAAATAAAAAGATAACTGGAGAAGAATTAAACTATTAATTTATTACATTATACCTTGGGAAAATACCAGAAATTATTCCAACTGTTAACAAATACTTAATTCAAATCCTTTTGGTAAGTAGCAGAAAAGCCATAACTCAAAAATGGCTTCAGGCTGATCCTCCAACAAGGGCTCATTGGATAGGAATTGTAAAGGAAATACACTATATGGAGAGACTGACTTTCAACCTAAGATTTGATTAAAAAAGTGCAACAAGTACTGGCAAAAATGGACTGATTATGTCATTATAAACAATTTGTGATAATGTACTTCAAATGTATTAGCAGGGCTCAACAATAAGGACTGCCCGATGGCCCGGGGCCAGTATGTAAGATGCTCGGGACAGTAGACAGAATTGCTACTGGCCCGATTGGGCCACTGATGCCCTGTCGCTAAAGTTTAATTTGCCTGTGACTACTTGTCCATGTTTTGTACAGTTTGACGTCAGTTTGGCAGTCAAGCCATCTTTGGTTTGCAATAAAATGCCTGCACATTTTGCTGCTTTTGTTTGCAAAACACTTTGAATCTTGCTCATTGTACATTTATTAACATTTTTTAAAATTTTAAATTCTATATTTACAAACATTTTGACACATTTTTCTGTTTTTAAATTTGTGGCTAAGAAATAGCTATTAACATTTTTTTGGTAGGGACAGTGGAAATATTGGCTGGGCAAGTAAAAGTCTTAACCACTGGTCCGATCGGGCCAGTAGAAAAAATCCTTAGCGTTGAACCCTGATTAGGACTTGATTTTGTAACTCATATGACAACCGCTCAGTTCTTTCCCCCCCTTCTGTCATTATTTTCTCTTCTAAATAAAAAAAAGGGGTAAATATCTTGCTGAATTCAATTTTTTTGACTGATATGTATCTTCAACAAGTATTTATTTCTTCATTTAAATGAGTTGTGATTCTTTCTGTGATATATTTATGTTTGCAGTTTTGTATTTAAAACAATGGGGACTCCGTAGTACGAATGTATGTTGAGATGGTTCTGGCAGTTTTGACGAAAGCAGAAAAGTAAAGCTTTTGCTTAATACGAATGCTCCGACTCAAGTGTATCTTTTCCAGTCAGACATACTACACTGTCATGCTGTTTAAATGTATGCATTGTTTGAGAATCGCATACGCAGTAATTCACAAATGTAAATATATCTGTTTGATTATCCATGATTGTTTTTTCTTGGACATTTTGCTTAAGATGGTTGATGTGGAGCTGAGCAGAGGAGAAGGACATCACGGCTCACAGAAGGTATTGAAGGGCACCTATTTTACCCATTTTACCAGATGTAAGATAAGCCTTTACTGTCTCCAGAATGTGTCTGTAAAGTTTCAGCTTTCAGCAAAATACCTCCTGTATCTCCTCTGTGTTTAGTATTACAGGTGTCTGATCGTCCTCACCTGTATAACCACAGTCTTGTTGATCCTCCTGTCACTCCAAACGCTGCTTGTTCCAATGGCCAAATCCTCCTCCACCAAATCATCTGTACAGCAGGAGCGCGTGCTAATCAGAGAAACCTGCACGGACCCCTGCAGGTACAGTACAGTTGCCCACCTGACCATTAATTACACTAGCCTGTGTCATATTTACTCAAATCCAGCACTTGTTTTTTTACAAACCATGGATTTCTGAGTCTAATAATAGTGGTCTGTAGGATTGTCTTAGTGGAGAGCATCCCCGAGGGTATGGTGTTTAACTCCTCTGTCCATCAGTCCATTTACGATGCCTGGCTGAACCTCATTTCTGCTACCCAGTCCAGTCTGGACATCGCCTCCTTCTACTGGACTCTCACCAACTCTGACACACACACACAAGAGCCCACCGCTAATCAGGTCTGATGGGAAGTTCTCTGAATTATTATTGAATAATGCATGGCATTAGTGACTTACCCAAGTGATGCGTTCGTCCAATAGGGGCAGCAGATTCTGAAGAAATTAGGGCAGCTCTCAAGCAAAGCGTATGTTCGAATTGCTGTCGATAAACCAGCAGATAAAAAACCTATGGAGGACATCAACTTCCTCAGCTCCTACGGTAAGCTGCGTTCCAAATGCACACTATACACTATGCACTCATGCACTATGTACTTATGCACTTAAACAGTCAACAGGATAGTGTATGTATGTAGTGTCGTCCCAAATGGCACACTAATGTTTTTTTACTAAGCGGAAATTCAAACCGTTTCCCTAATGACGTTTGACGGTTGCCAAATCAGTGAAATAAACGACCGAATTATCAAATAATACCTGCCGTGAGTATAACCGCATTCACCATCGGGAGGCGCTATAATCACTCTCGCAGGAGAATTTTGCTTTCACCATCCAAAATAAATAGTTATCCAACTTGTGTGTCAGATAGCTCCGCCCCTTCCGCTACGTAAGCAAACCTGCGGTCGTTGAGTGCGTGAAGTGTCCATCATTACACACTTCATTTTATCGCCTGAATGAGTGCATCACCCGAGTAATTAAAGTGCACTTATTATTTTTAGAGTTTTCAGTGTGAACACACTACTTACACTATTTATACTACAAAATGGCGTAGAATAGTGCATAAGTATGCGATTTGGAACGCAGCTTATGTATGAAGTTGTGGTATTTAATGTCACGTTAAAATAACGTTCACACTTTTAAATAAGGTTTCGTTAGGTAATGTTTACTAACATCAACTAATTATGAACAATGCATGTACAGGATTTATTATTCATAGCTCAACGTTTGCTAATGCATTAGTAACATCCGAATTCACGTTAGTGCACTGAGTTAACATAACCTAACAATAAATAATTGTATTTTCATTAACTTGCATAAACAAATACTGTAATAAATGTATTTTTCATTGGTTGTTAATGCTTGTAAATGTATTAAATAATAATAACTAATACAACGTTATTGTAAAGTGCTACCAAAATAATAGTACATTGCTATAAATGATAGTACTTAACATTAACATTGCATTAATTAATGTATTAACTAACATGAACAAACAATGAAGAATTATTTTTGTTTGTATTTCATATTATTTAAATTAATATAAATTCATATTATTAATAGGTTTATTACAGTATTGGTTCATCTTTGGTAATATTAATGGTTATATATTTTATTTTAAGGTACACTTTTTTTCTTTTAACAAATGTTTAACTAAGACTTTTTGCTTATTTAAATCCTAATTTGCTGCTTGTTAATAGTTATTAAGGTAGTAGTTGGGGTTTGGGTATTGTGTGGGATTAGTGATGTAGAATAAGATCATACTTTATAAGTACTTTTTTATAATTTTTTATTAATAAACAGGTAATAACAAGGCCCACGTGGAATCTGCATGTGCCAAAATCTGCAGATGTTTATGTTCATTGAGTTTATTTATTTAGTTGTGTGTAAATGTGTGTAAATTTACATTTATTTAGTTTATAAATAAATTTCAGTAATATTACTGACTAAATGTTTCCCAGAGATGGGTTGCAGCTGGAAGGGCATCCGCTGCATAAAAATGTGCTGGAAAAGTTGGTGGTTCATTCCGCTGTGGCGACCCCGGATTTATAAAGGGACTAAGCCGACAAGAAAATGAATGAATGAATTACTGACTAAATGTTCATATGACTTACAATACAGTTTGTGAAGTAATAATGTCTGTCTTTTTAGTAGATATTTGGTAGATATATTATATGAGAGCCTTGCTTTGTTTACTTAATGGATCTATAGGATTTGCATTGTTGTTTTTAATTTTATTTAACATATTAAGTTTTTAGTTATGATCCACCCAAAATCATTCCACATAAATTCACAGATTTTTTACAATATTCTGCGCAGAAATAGCAAAAAATGTCTGCAGATTCTCTCTGGTCCTTGTAATAACCCAGTAGTTAATAGTGGGTACTGTTACTTAAAGTAGAGAGTTACACAATAAACCATTAACTATGACTTTTGCCTCAAACTACGCCACCTATTTTGATGCTTATTCATAATAATACATTTATTAAGTAATAATAAACCGCCAATATTTTAATAATAGGGAGGTAAAAAACCACTGGTTAATAGTGAGAATTAACACTTAAACCAAAGTGTTACAAATAGTTCATGTTAATTCACAGTGCATTAACTAAAGTTAACAAGCACAACTATAGTTTTTAATAATGCATTAAATTACATGCATAAATGTTGAACTATGATTAATAAATACTGTACAACAAGTATTGTTCATGTTAGTATTGTTCATGTTCATGTAAATACATGAATTGAACATTAATGTAAAGTGTCACTGTGTACTTATGCATATACACACTCAACAGCCTAGTATATGTATACCTTTGAGTGCACAAAGTGTCCAACATTACACACTTATTTTTAACCATTGAATAGGTGCGTCATTTTAACATTTGAAGTGCAATTATTCTTTTATAATAAAAATAATATTTCAGTATAAATGCACTTCTTATGCACTATTCTATGCCATTTTGTAGTATAATTAATACAAGTATGCGATTTGGGATGCACCTTATCATTTAAAAAAAAAACACTTTCAGAATGGCATATGGATGATGTTTTGCTTCCTGCAGGAGCTGATGTGCGGATGGTGAACATGCGAGAGTTGACAACAGGTGTGCTGCATACCAAGTTCTGGATCGTGGATAAGAAGCACATTTACATCGGAAGCGCAAATATGGACTGGAGGTCACTAACACAGGTCAGTCATGTAACCTTTAAATGCCGCATGGTTAGGTAGATGTTAGTGTTGTATTTAATCAATACCTTTAAATACAATTAGCTTCTTTTTCCTTTAAAATAAAGAAAAAACAACCTTGTCATCAGAATAATTGTTAAATATATTAAAACAAAAGCAATTATGTGAAATTGTAAAAGTTTCACTGTATTACTGTATCTGCAATCAAAGACACTTGAGTGTACTTTAGCACTGTAGTAAACATTCTCCACGTTATAGTGCTGTTGTGTCCGTTTCATGTGCACAGGTGAAGGAGTTGGGCGCAGTTGTGTATGACTGCAGCTGTCTTGCTGAGGATCTTGGGAAGATCTTTGAGGCTTACTGGTACCTGAATCAGACCAAGACCGTTCCTGCACACTGGCCTAACAAATACTCCACCCTGTATAATAAGGACACACCAATGCAGCTGTCGCTCAACGGGACCAGTGCTAGCGTCTATCTATCAGTAAGACCATCCAGCCTATTAGGATTTACTGTAACACTGTCTGTATTCCTGTCAGTGCCTTTGGAGTTTTTTGTGGTTTATGTTGTTCCTTAATGCGGTGTCGTTTACACTAGCAGTTGCAGTTTTCTTTGGTGTTTTGGGGAAGTTAACCCTTGTGTGCAGTCGGGGATGTTTTCATCCACTCCGGGTGATTTTCAGTCTATATTTGGCCACAATTTTCTCTGTGTTTCAGAAAATGAAATGATTTTTGGTGATAAATCTTATTTTGACATATTTTGGGGAAAAAAAGCTTTGATAATTTTTAAAAACTGAACAATAATGATGTTTTTTGTTTGCAAAGCCAGTTTTGCCTGTTGGGAAGAGGTCAAATTTGTAATTTTTAACATCAGTTGCAATGCAAAATAGTGTAGTTTCTGGCTTTTATATGGAGTATAGAAAGTGTGTGTGTGTGTGTGTGTGTGTGTGTGTGTGTGTGTGTGTGTGTGTGTGTGTGTGTGTGTGTGTGTGTGTGTGTGTGTGTGTGTGTGTGCGTGTGTGTGTGTGTGTGTGTCCTATCCAAAAGATTAATGGTGCCAATTAATGATCAACGTAGAGCTGCACGATTCTAGCTAAAATGAGAATCGCGAATTTTTATTTATTTTTTTGCTTAAAATAAAGTTTACGATCTTTATTTTACATCTCACAATTCTGTATATGTAAAATAAAGCATTATATGAGATTATTGTTTTTTTTTTCAAACATATGGTAAAACAACGATATTAATATTATGTGTAGGTCTCCTGGTTTCTATAAATAATTCTATTCTACTTATAATTATTCTGATGTTGAGTTATGTTTGAGATATATGCTGGCAATCTTTCATTGATCACATTATTAGACCATTTGTTTCACTGGTAAAATCAACATTATATAGGCTAGAGTAGTTAAACTGACACTGTAAACATTTATTTTCGTGCACAACTATGTGTTCGCTATGAAAGAAAAAACATATCAAATGCTTGTCGCAATCATAACTGTAAAATTCGATATGATTATTTAAATGACGTGCACGCTTTCGGTTTCATTTTCACTGCTAAGTGCTGTTCTTACTTCGCGCGCGGCTCTTAAACGATCACTCTGTGCCACAAACTGAATATTATTTACAACTTTATTACCTGTTACTTACAGCATATGCAGGTTCTGTTCACTAAAGTAGATGCGCCCGCAGTCAGCAGCTCACGTCACGTGTGATTTCCCGGCTGTGAATACAGCATTATATGAAGTCAAAAAAGAGATTTTAAGGTGAATTATACCTTATAAGTACAGTATGTGACTCTTTTAACATCATTTGGAGGTGTCCATGTCACTGGGCAATGTATGTGAAACAATGAAAAGACTCGTGCAGCCGCCTTTGCTTCTCTCCTGAACTTGAAAATATGATTGGCAGAATGGTAGAAATGCTGGATTAAGATCGTCTAGGGGGTGGAATCGAGAACGCAATCTTTTTTATGATTAATTGTGCAGCTCTTATCAACGGTGAAGATTACTAATTTTAACTCTTCCCAACCAGGAAAACCACCGACATTAGTTATGTTTCCATCCAAAAATGCAAATTTAAATTTATGCGCAAAACTGGAATATTGCATGTAACTGAACGTTAACACCGAAAGCAGTGAGAGCATCAAAGTAGCCAGAAGTCATTCATTTTTAATAGGAGCCGGTGACGAGGAGGAGCGGGGTGCGATTTTTGCCAGTGTGAGCGTCAAGGAGAGTTGAAATCAAGTTAACTTTAAGGTAATGAGCTTTGATGCAGTTCGGCGGCAACCAATCGGAATGTAGAAGAACTTTGGTTCCGACCACAGTTGTTCCCAAGGGTTTAATTATTGTGGCCGGATTTCCAATTATTTGCAATATTTTCTTATAGGAACTTACCTTAAATAAAAATTACTGGCGAGTTACTGATGTGCTTTAATGTCATACATATTTATCTTTAAAGAAGCGAGAATCTCATGCGACAGTACAAAACAGTATTGCTGCTTCAGGATATTTCAGACATATGTACACATTGGATAAGTGGAGCAAAGCCAGACAGCATGCAACTTGATTATCCATATTAAAAGAATTGTTAAAAGTGAGTGATATTTTCATGCAGAAAGCATGTTTTATTTGGGAATGTAACTGATATGATATGATATGCTGCAACGGCCCCTTTAAATATCAATGTATCAATTTAGAGATCAATGTAGCGAATTTTGATGCTCTCGTTGCCGCAGCTGAAGGCAGACAGCATTGTCGTCAGGGCAGCCAGAGCGACCTTTGATGCTCTCGCCGCCTTCAGTGTGAACACACAGTAAGACGTGCGAATAAAGCAGCGTTGCCATCCAACGAGTCAAAGAGAACAAAATCGTCACTTCCTGATAAACTGGTCAAAAGTAAATCAAATCAAAAGTAAAACGTAATTCGCTGTGGTCGGAGAAGCTGCATGAATCTTTTCTTTATTTAATAAATGACTTGCGCCTCACAAGACAAATGCACACATGCAATGACCTGGTGGTGTTTGAAGGTGTGGGACGCAGAGTACAGATGCTCTCGACAGTTCTGCAGGTCATTAACAGTATAATAACAGTAACACTGAAACAGTTGAGGCGTTTTAGAATGGCCGAAACAACATTTCAGATGATTTACAGTGTCCTATCATCACATGATCTCTTATCACAAAATCACATGACCTTTTTTTTAATGCGCATACTGGAATTTGCTTAGTAAAAGTGTTTCCATCGTAGTTTATGCGAATCTTTTCTTATCGATTAAGAAGTTAATCCTACTCAGGTGTGCGCATATGTTTTTTCAGCATTTTTTCAAAATTGATGCGCATCTTGGCATTTCCTTCAACCGGTTTTTGATGCGCATATCCAAAATGCACATAAAAATTAGTGGATGAAAACAAAGCGACTGAAGAATGCATGATTATATGGTGTTAAGGCTTTGGCATCAAAATATGTGTTATAATGGAAGTCAATGGGGCAGAAACAGACACTAACATAAGGAAAGTGTAGTTGATTTGAGCAACACACAAGGGTTAAAGAGCTGTGTGTTTCTCCTTCACAGAGCTCTCCTCCTTCACTCTGTGCTGAAGGCCGGACTCCAGATCTTCAGTCTATCCTCGATGTGATCGCTAATGCTCAGCAGTTTGTCTACATCGCTGTGATGAACTATCTGCCCACTATGGAGTTCTCCAGAAGCAAGAGGTCTGTGATTCAGCATTAAAGCACATATCTGAGCACAGTTGAAGTCAGAATCATTAGCCCTCTTGCTCATTTTAAATTCTTTTACATTTTTTTCTCCCAAGTTCTGTTTAATGGGGAGAATTTTTGGGGAGTTTAATGGAGGAAACTTTTATCTTTGCCATTATCACAGTACATAATCTCTTACTAGATGTTTTTCAAGATACTAGTATTCAGCTTAAAGTGACATTTAAAGGCTTAACTAGATTAATTAGGCAAGTTAGGATAATTAGGCAAGTCATGGACCCTTTTCACAAGCCTGTTACGACGCATATAATGGTAGTCAGCATCTTAAATCCTTGAAGGTTTTTTAATATTTAGATTAGCTTTTTTAATGTATGAACATTTATATGTATTTATGTGTTTATTATATAATCTTTGCTTCAAATCACAAAAAAAAAACGAATTACAGCTTGTGCTAGGTGTTTCTAATGCAGTGTCTATAAGGGGCAGGACATTATTTGACATTATTCTCTCCTTTGGCTGCCGTTTTCAGACTTTCTCCAGGAAAAAAAATATTATAGGAAATAATGTGAAAAATTGCTTGCTCATCATTGCATAATAAATTATAAACATAATTTTAAAATATTAACATAATTTATAATATTCATTCATGTTCATGTCGGCTTAGTCCCTTTATTAATCTGGGGTCGCCACAGCGGAATGAACCGCCAACTTATCCAGCGGATGCCTTTCCAGCCACAACCCATCTCTGGGAAACATCCACAAACACTCACACACACACACACTCATACATAATGGACAATTTAGCCTACCCAGTTCACCTGTACCGCATGTCTTTGGACTGTGTGGGAAACTAGAGCACCCGGAGGACACCCACACAAAGGCATGAGAACATGCAAACTCCACACAGAAACGCCAATTGAGCCGAGGATCGAACCAGCGACCTTCTTGCTGTGAGGCAACAGCACTACCTACTGCACCCAGGTCACATGACTAAAGCGATTCAAAGGATCGGAGTATTTCCCAAGCCCTGGCAAATCTGTGTTTGATTCACTGTGTTTGGAAATGAAATCTCAAGCACTCATAACCTAGTGGACAGTGCGCCAACATATAGTGCAACTGTGCTGCAGGTGACCCAAGTTTAAGGATTTGAGTACATTATTATTTTTGGCTGGACTAACCCTGCTTCGCTCTTATTTCCATCAGGTACTGGATGGATATTGACACTGAGCTGCGGCGTGTGGCTTATGAGCGCAGGATTCGTGTGCGTCTGCTGATCAGCTGCTGGAACAGCACCAAACCAATCATGTTCCCTTTCCTGCGCTCCCTTGCTTCCTTACAGGACACAAACCAGCTGGACATTCAAGTGGTGAGTGCAGTCACATTTGTAGTAATGTGTGAAAGGTGTCATGATAGATGCCATACACACCACCATACAGATATTTAGGGTTGATAAGTTTATCTTATGTGTTATGTGGCCTGATGGAACTAAGATTGAACTGTTTGGTCATAATGACTTGTGTTACATTTGGAAGACAAAGGGGAAAGCTTATGTAACCTCACCGGTCCTACGCCACCCAACCCGCTCCGAGCTGGTATCGAACCGGCGACCTTCCGCATGGGAGTCGGTTGCTCTAACAAGGAGGCTAAAGACCATTGCCTTTAGCGACTGTCGCTAGAGCACCTTTAGAGGTCAGAGGAGTGAGGTTTACCTGCACAGCAGCTACTAGCTGGCCTCCGTTACACTCACCCCCTAAACCTCACTCCCATCCGGGTCACGGCACCAATGTACCTGCACAGCACCTACTAGCTGGCCTCCGTTACACTTACAAGCCTATACACCATCCCAACTGTAAAGTATGGGGGCAGCAGCATCCTGTTGTGGGGCTGTTTTGCTGCAGGAGGGACTGGTCCACTTCACAGCATAAAGAAAGAACGTTATGTAGAAATATTGAAGCAACATCTAAAGACATCAGCAAGGAAATTAAAACTTGGCCACAAATGGGTCTACCAAACAGACCATGACCCTCAGCATACTGCCAAATTAGTTAAAATGTGCTTAAAGGTCAACACAGTGAATGTTTTGGAGTGGCATCACAAAGCCCTGATCTCAATCCTATAGAAAATTTGTGGGCAGAGTTGTAAAAGCTTGCCCTAGCAAGACAGCCTACAAATCTGACACAGTTACACCAATTCTTTCAGGAGGAATGGGCCAAAATTCCTGCAAACTGTGAGAAGCTTGTGGAAGGATCTTCAAAATATTTGACCAAAGTTATACAGTTTAATAGCAAAGCTAAAATAACACCAAGGAAATGTGTGTAACTTTTGACTTTCTAGAAATTAATAAAAAATTCTCAAAAAAAACAAAATTCTCTTATTTTTCTGGCATTTAGCAATTGTAAATAATTTAGGTAATCCTAACGGACCTAAAATAGTCATCTTTTTGTATGATTCACCATCAGACATTTTTTAAAAAATGGTTTATGTTCCTTTTTTTTTTGGAGTGTATGTAAACTTCTGGTTTCAACTGTATATGGCTATTGCACAACTATAATACACTGTGATATAGCCTAGTTTGTTGGATCGTTTTGCTTTCTCACTACAATCGATCCGCTCCAGAGTTTGTTTCAATTGAGCCGAGGCCACCTCATTTAGACCTATTGATTTGGCGCGGATCCGAATTCAGTTGCAGGATTCACATATGCCAAACGAACCGCACTAACTGGGAAAACGAGACCGGTTCTGAAACAAACGTCTAGGCGTGGAAGCATTTGCACTCAATTGACACACAGTCACAGACAAATTAAACAAGTGACAAGGCAGCACTGACCTGGTCCTCATTGTCGAGTCCTGTTATTCAGTTATAACAGTTGTCATTTTTCTGAAACAGTTCTACATTTTTTCAATGATTTGTAACAGAATTATTTTGGTTAAGTTAATAAATGCTCTTCCTCTCACTTTTGATTATTTCATGAATCTCCTTTTCCCCACACAGAGAATTTTCACAGTGCCTTCAGACGCTCAGCAGAAAAAAATCCCCTTCGCCAGAGTGAACCATAACAAGTACATGGTCACAGATCAAGTTGCTTACATAGGTATACCTCATTCTTACTATGACTTTCTGTCTTCAAATTGTAATCTTTTTAATTGCACTTAAAGAAACACCGTTGGTATTGTGGTACTCACATGCCTATCCATTCTTTGCAGGCACCTCTAACTGGTCCGGGGACTACTTTGTGAACACGGCCGGCTCTGCATTAGTGGTGAACCAGACTTCAGCTTCAGCAAGTTCGACAGTGCAGGAGCAGCTACAGGCCGTGTTTGAGAGAGACTGGGAGTCTGCATACAGCACAGACATCAACCACAGATCCAACCGTAAAGACATCTGCTAGACCAGACGCAGCCTGCAGGAGGAGCTGGAGGCACTGACACAGAGACTGTAAACCTTCTGCTCCATTTTTAGGACACTAAAATACTTCATATGTTGCCATGAACTACTTTTACACTCCAAAAAAAGGAGTTTTATTTGCATTAAGCATGAGGTGAGAGTTAAAAGGGATCGTTCACACACAAAAAATGTAAATTACTTCACCATTTACTCGTTTTAAAACCTGAACACAAAAAAAAAAGAAATTTTGAAAAATGATGAAAACTGGTAACCATTGACTTCCATAATAGGTAAGACAAATACTATGGAAGTCAATGGTTACAGGTTTTCAACATTCTTCAAATTATCTTCTTTTGTGTTCAAGGGTGTGTTAATAGTCAGTAAATGTTCATTTTGTATCCCTCTGCAGAACTTTTTCCCCCGATAATAGTCTCTCGCCTCAAAGCAGAAATACTTTTGCATACATTTTGCACAGAACGTCTTTATAGCTGACCTGCAATACCTCTGCCTTCCTGTTGATTCTTTTTAACATCTGTTGAACTTAAAGTCTCAGGATGAATCATTTTATTATTGATTCACAGCAGTGGTCTCAAACTCAATTCCTGGCTCTGCTCAGTTTAGCTCCAACCACCTCCAACTCACACCTGCTTAATAGTCTCTAGTAGTCTTGAACACCTTGACTGGTTGGATCAGCTGTGTTTGATCAGGCATGGAGCAGAACTGTGCAGAGCTGCGGCCCTCCAGAAATCCAGTTTGAGACCTGTGATCTACAATATTGTTCACAACTTTCTACAGTGATTTATTAATTACCTTCATGTTCAGTTGAAGGCAAAATCATTAGCTCTTCTGTGAAAACAACGATGCCAAGGACATTAGTATTGTACTATGACTATTTCTTCTAAAGAACATTCGATTACGTTTCGATTTCGTAAGCTGTTTATATTTCTTTCAATTCATTTAAGGTCAATATTATTCGCCCCCTTAAGAGAAAGTTTTATTTTTAGATAGAGGAGTGTTTCTCAACCACGTTCCTGGAGGACCACCAGCTCTGCATAGCCAAACACACCTGATTCAGATCATCAGCTCATTAGCAGAGACTGAGGCTGCGTCCGAAACCGCATACTTCCATACTATATAGTACGCCAAAATCAGTATGCGAGCCGAGTAGTATGTCCGGATTCATAGAATTCGAAAATCAGTATCCGAGAAGTACCCGGATGACTTACTACTTCCGGCGAGATTCCGGAGTGCGCATCCCATTCATGTTGTATCCCATGATGCCCCGCGAGAGAATTCATGAATGGAAGTAAAGCGACGCAACTGACGCAGGTAGGTCACGTGACCATGACAAAATGGCGGATGTAGTACGTCCGAATTCCATTCAAACTTTTCACATTCATACTGTATAGAACGTCGTTTTCTAACGGCCGAGTAGTACGTTTAAATTCAAATGCAGTACCTACTGAGTAGTAGGCGGTTTCGGACGCAGCCTGAAAGACCTGTAATAGATGTGTGGGGGAGATCTTCTCATCCATCTTGAAGATGTGATGGCAGCCATTTTGCGCCAGATCGCACACCAGCTGATTTAACCACAATGCCAGAGTTAAACTCCTACTCTTTTTTTTTTTTTTTTTTTTTTTTTTTTTTTTTCTCGAAGGACATCCTGGGATTTTTAACGACCACAGAGAACCAGGACCTCAGTTTAACATCCCATCTGAAGGACCACACTCACTAAGCAATATAGAGTCCCCATCAAAATACTGGGGCATTAGGACTCTAACAGACTGCAGGTTGAGCGCCCCCTGCTGGTCTCACTAACACCACTGCCGGCAGCAACCTAGCTTTTCCATGTGGACAAAAGAGACATCCAAACCATGCAGTGCTGGTGGTCCTCCAGGAATAAGGTTGAGAAACAAGAACTGAGTTAGAGAATAAAATCACCATTGCCCAATGGCCTGCTTAATTAGTCTAACTTCCTTAGTTAACAGTAATCTAGTTAAGTCTTTAAACTGCACTTAAAGCTGAATATTAATATCTTGCAAAATAATGCACTGTCAATGCGAAGACCAGGAAATTCATTCATTTTCTTGTCGGCTTAGTCCCTTTATTAATCCGGGGTCGCCACAACGGAATGAACCACCAACTTATCCAGCAAGTTTTTAGTCAGCTGATGCCCTTCCAGCCGCAACCCATCTCTGGGAAACATCCACAGACACATTCACACACACACTCATACACTACGGACAATTTAGCCTACCCAATTTACCTGTACCGCATGTCTTTGGACTGTGGGGGAAACCGGAGCACCCGGAGGAAACCCACGCGAAGGCAGGGAGAACATGCAAACTACACACAGAAACGCCAACTGAGCCGAGGTTCGAACCAGCGACCTTCTTGCTGTGAGGCGACATCACTACCTACTGCGCCACTGCATCGCCTAACCAGGAAATTAGTTTTGTTAAACCTAGAATGTGATGTTAGACCTAGAAAAGTATCATGTTACAAAATCTTGAGGGGAAAAAAATCTTCGTTTAACAGTACTTATAAATATTTGACAAATAATAAAAATGATTTTGTCTTCAGCTGTACATTTGCCTATATTTTAAAAATCGTAACAGTATTTGATTGTAAATCAAATCAATCGCTTACTTTCTGCCTCAGCGGAATGAACCGTCAATTGTAAATCATTCATTCATTCATTTTCTTTTCTGTTTAGTTCCTTTATTAATCAGGGGTCACCACAGTGGAATGAACCACCAACTTATCAAGCATATGTTTTACGCAACGGATGCCCTTCCAGCCACAACCCAACACTGGGAAACACCCACACACTCTTGCATACACTAGGGCCAATTTAGTTCATCCAATTAACCTGTACCGCATGTCTTTGGATTGTGGGGGAAACCGGAGCACCCGGAGGAAACCCACGCCAGCACAGGGAGAACATGCAAACTCCACTCAGAAATGCCAACTGAGCTTGAACCAGCGACCTTCTTGCGGTGACGATCATGCTACGCACTGAGCCACTGTGACTACCCTGATTGTAAATCATTCATTTAATTCACTTTCTTGTCGGCTTAGTCCCTTTGTTAATCCGAGGTCGCCACAGCAGAATGAACTGCCAACTTATCCAGCAAGTTTTTACGCAGTGGATTCCCTTCCAGCTGCAACCCATCTCTGGGAAACATCCACACACACTCATTCACACATACATGCATACACTACAGACAATTTAGTCTACTCAATTCACCTGTACCGCATGTCTTTGGACTGTGGGGGAAATCGGAGCACTCCGTGGAAACCCACGCGAACGCAGGGAGAACATGCAAACTCCACACAGAAATGCCAACAGAGCCGAGACTCAAACCAGCGACCTTCTTGCTGTGAGGCGACAGCACTACCTACTGCGCCACTACGTCGCCCCTGATTGTAAATCAAACGTGCATTATTAGATTAACCACAGATGCCACTAAAGACATCCTAATGTTGATCACTGAATCACTATTTTTATTGCACACGTCAGTTTTTACTTTTATTTTCAGGACCTACAGGGTGAGAAACTGAAGTATGTGCTTTTATTATGTCTGTAAAACTGGAAGTGAAACTGACACATCGTTCATGTAGAGTCATTATCAGATAAGTTCACCATTATAAAGAGGAACAGTGAGTGGATGTGCGAGCTTTTATAAGCATAGTTTGGAAAATACGCTCAATTGGATCTGAATTCTACATTTGATCTTTGGAGGGGTCATTTTAGGTTGTAAAATTGGGTATCGGTTAATAAAAATTACTCTTGAAATCAAAGATAAATGTACTTTTAGAGCTGTTATCTAGTTTCATGTGTATTTTATGCTTAATTTTCTTACTTGAATTTGGTTATTTTGTGTATATTGTAGTAAATGCATTGCTTCAGAAATATGTAAGGGATTATTTTGTCTAATGTTGAAAGTAATTATGGAGGCTCCTAGAGACAGAGATTTGAGAAGTGGACTATCTGAACAATTAATCAATAAAAATGCAGGTTATTTAAACTTCTTTTTTTAATTAAACACATTCATGCCATGAAAATGTAGTCATATCATCAAAACACAAGTAGAGAACCAAACCTAATTAATGTCAATTTGCTAAATACATTTTCAATAGTAATTCTAATAAAATTCATCATAAATATGTGGTAACACTTTACAAAAAAGTTCATTAGTTAATGCATTTACTAACATGAACTAATCATGAATAACACTTGTACAGCATTTATTAATCCTAATTGAACATTTACTAATGCATTATTAACATCCATCCAAGTCCATGCTTGTTAACATTAGTTAATGCACCATGAGTTAACATGAACTAACACTTAACTACTGTATTTTATTAACTAACGTTAACTAACATGAACAAATACAGTAGTAAATGTATTGTTCATTGTTTGTTCCCGTTAGTAAATGCATTAATTAACATTAACTAAGGAACCTTATTGTAAAGTGTGACCAAATATTATACTCTATTAGCTACTGGAAAACTCATCATTATCCACTCGATTCAATTAGGCTATGTTTTAAAATTATGCTTCAATCTATATTTGTTCTTAAATCTAATTATCAAAGTATGTAATTATCATATCTATTTTCAAACCTGGCTGCATTCCCATAAATGGGCATTTCTCATGAACACTGTCCGTGTTCTCCGCGTTATTTTTACACCAGGCCACACCTCCTTGTGAACAATTGGCTGGTATGAGTAATGTGTAGTCTGTGATTGGAGAGTTAAAATGTCGTTCACGTTGTTTAACCAATAACTTGAAAGAGTAGTGAATGAAGGGCGTGGCTTGTGGGAACACTGTTGGAAGAATTGGATTCCTGGCGCAACAAGGAGCTGAAGATGGCGGTGAGTGAGGCTTTTCTCCTTTTACAATTACAGATTTCACCAGAAAACGTTTTTTTCTGAATTTAATATGGACGCCTATAAAGTTCATCACACAAAATATGTCCACTTGGTCGAACACAGCCGATAAACGAGAAACTTTGGATTTTTCCAAAGAAAAAACGTTACAAATTTAAAACATTGTAAATCACAAGATGGCTCATAACTTATATTTCTTTTCGAATAAACTGAGTTTATAGCTCATCTCCTTTAATCTAAAAGCAATGGACGAGTATTGGTCAGGATTTGTACAATCTACAATGAAATATGAAAATACATCGTCGCTTTTTCATTTTAAATATTTCAAGTGAATCAAGTGTTCGAGTCTAATAAATGAATACATTAAATTAATACAATGAGAAAGAGAGAGAGAGAAATGGTAACGTTACACTGTCACGGAAATGTTAACGTTAACCTCCTGGATTTTAGCCATTAGACACTTGTTGGTTTTCACTGAACTTGAACGATAAATAACGCGTAATTCATTTTAAGCAGTCCATTTTTAATGTCAGAATAAAATTAGTAAGTTAAGTGATTTGTTTTCTACAGGTATTTCTAATGTTTCGGAGGGAAACGGTTTATTCATGACCATTGTTCTTTTGTCCGACGTATAGGCCTATACATTTACAGCAGGGGGCAGTATGTAAACCTCAAATCTGACCTTCAGACCTGCTTCATAAAGTTAAAAGTAACGCATTGACATTTTTGTTAGGATGTAACCTTTGAATGTACACTTGGTTAAATGTGCCTTCATCAACACTTCGTATCAATGTCACATTAGTGCAGTTTACACCAATTTAGGCCAAATCGGTCCATTTATTATCAGACTACATTTTATTAATACGTTGTTGCGCCTTAACGTACACTTATTTTTGAGCAGACTGATGAACCATTTCATAAAATATTTAGTTAATATATTTTGAGTGGATTATTAAACATTTAAATGCATTTGTTATCATTATATCAATTTATTACCAATATATTAATAAACAAGGATTATTAAACTTATGAATACATTTTCATGTTTGGTCAAAGTCTACTTTATATCTAAATTGTCTAAACGTCTAAATTGTACTTTGATACTTTTACAGTATATACAGTTGAAGTCGGAATTATTAGCCTCCCTTTTATTTGTTTTCCGCTTTTTTTTAAGATATTTCCTAAATGATGTTTAACAGAGCAAGGAAATGTTCACAGTATGTCTGATAATATTTTTTCTCCTGGAGAAAGTCATTTGTTTTATTTCGGCTTCAATAAAAGCATTTTTAATTTTTTTACACAATTTAAACACCATTTTAAGGTCAAATTAATATATATATATATATATATATATATATATATATATATATATATATATATATATATGAAATTTTCACAGCATGTCTGATTCTTATTCTCTTATTTGTTTTATTTCGGCTAGAATAAAAAAAATGTAAAAAAAAGCTAAATTTTTTAAGCTTTTTTTTTTCCGATAGTCTACAAAACAAACCATCGTTATATAATAACTTGCCTAATTACCCTAACCTGCCCAGTTAACCTAATTAACCTAGTTAAGCCTTTAAATGTCACTTTAAGCTGTACAGAAGTGTCTTGTAAAATATCTAGTCAAATATTATTTACTGTCATCATGGCAAAGATAAAATAAATCTTATAAATGTTATACAACGATGGTTTGTTCTGTAGATTATCGAAAAAATATATAGCTTAAAGGGGCTAATAATTTTGACCTTAAAATGATGTTAAAAAATTAATAACTGCTTTTATTCTAGCCGAAATAAAACAAATAAGACTTTCTCCAGAAGAAAAAATATTATCAGACATACTGTGAAAATTTCCTTGCTCTGTTAAACATAATTTGGGAAATATTTAAAAAATCAATCAATCAATCAAACGGGGCTAATAATTCTGACTTCAACTGTGTGTGTGTGTGTATATATATAATTAGCTCGGCTGTGACAAGAATTTACCTTTGGTAATAATATATAGAGAGATTAATAGATTTGAGATTAATATATACACACACACAAACACACAAATTACACAACCAGCAATTCCGAAATGATGTATAAAAGTGTTTACACGTTAAAGATAAAACATCCCCTTTTGATGTCCACATTAAATTAAATTACTGTAAATTTAATTACACCCTTTTTTCCCCTTTGCTCCACGTGATACTCAATATTATCACTGCAGTTAATCTGCAGTTAACTTACTTAAATAGTCATTTCAAATCCCAGCTTGTACGGCATTAATTATATGCGAGCATAAGGCGTAATGTACATTGAAGGTTTGTGTTTGTGCTGATGTACGTGGTCAGTCGGGGTGTGTCTTTGACGGGGCACCGCTGCGAACGCTTGGGGTCACTGGCAGGATGTCCTGTGTTTAGACACATTACCCTGCTCTCTAATTGGCCTGTATGATCTCAGCTGTGGGTCTGTGAGGGTCTGCACTGCACGGCATCGTTCATACCTCTGGACTTCCACAGCCTCAAAACAGAAGCACCAAGCTTCAGTTCCTTCAATAAAGCAACAAGCCACTTGTAAAAGACTCGGGAATAGATTCTCACTCCAGGTTCAAGACCTTTGTGAATCTGGGTAGAGTCGGCATCAAATATCAGAGCTATAATGAACAGAAAAACAGGCTGCCGTTGTGCTTTAAAATGGTTTTAGCTTGGAAATCATTTTAAACACTTAAAATCACAATTATTCCAAGCTAAATGACTTTCTAGGGGTTATTAAACTTTTGGTCTTCAATCATATCACACCTTCAGTATGTGTGTTGTATGTGTGTACGTGCACTTTAATTACCAGCCGGTCGTGTCTGTGGCCTGGTCTGGTGACGAGGGTGCAAACAGTAATTGGGATCAGCTCCTGGACTCAGCAGAGCTCTTAATCAGCCCTGCTTTTGCGACGGGGCGTCCCGACAGAACACGCCTGCCTGTTGTTGTGTTTTCTGGAGAGACTGGGTGTGTGTGCCCCCAATGGGATGATGGGTGGAGGTGTGATCTGGTTGAACACCCTCAAAATAATGCCACAGGGGATTCCAGTCTAAACTGGCAACACAACTGATGTGACGACTTCTGATAAATTGACTACCGCTCTAGAGTTTGGGAGTAATTATGACTTTCAAAGGCCTTTGAGTTAATCCTGAGAAATACTGTAGAAATAGTCAAATATAACACTTTAAATTGAAGTTTTAGCATCATTACTCCACTCTTCTGAGTTACATGAGCCTTCAGAAATCATTTTAATATGAAAACTTGGTGTAAACTTGCAATAATAAACACTTATTATAAAAAACACACACACACACACACACACATATATATATATATATATATATATATATATATATATATATATATATATATATATATATATGGAAACGGCAAAGCTTTGTGTATATGTTTTGCAATACTAAACACTAATTAAATTAAAAAGTATATATATATAAATATATATGGAAACGGCAAAGCTTTATTTATGTTTTGCAATATAAAACACGTATTACATTAAAAATATGTTTATAATTTATTAATAACATGGAGACGGCAAAGCTTTGTTTATATGTTTTGCAATAAAAACACTTTTAATAATTAAAATATATCTATGATTTATTAATAACATTAACCATTATATTCCAATTAACCAAAACAACCAGCTAAATATAACATAACAATCCCATGCAATAATGTTTTATTTAAATATAACTGTAACAGACTAATGAACATTTTTTAATTAACAAATAAAAGATGCTTGAGACCAAATGTTGCCATTATTTACCCAAAATTATAACAATTTAATTTGGTGCCAACAACTATAGACACACACACACACACAGTTTTTAATGTGCTTGTGATTTTGTGCAAAACTTATAAAATGTTCCTGAAAACTGGAATAATGATGCTGAATATGCGGCTTTTTGTTACAGATTATGATTATAATAAAGTAAATCACATTTGTATGAAGTGTCAATCTTATTTAATGTTGTTATATGGTACCATTGGTAAGCACAAGAGACTTATTTGATCAGAATCATTGCAAAGTGATTTAATTATATTTGACTTGTTTAGCATTCATAATTAATAATTAATTTGCTAATAATTTAACCATTTCTTCTGCCTTAATTATAATCCTTTTCTGTTTCAGGTCATCCACTGAGAATGGACAGGAAGACTGGAATTATGAGGACATGGAGATGTTTATATAAAGATCTGTTTGAAAACAATATTTTATCATAACTTAAAAGAATGGGTTATAATATATACAGTATACAAACTATCAGACTTATTCTGATTTTTTAAAAGTAAAAACATACTGCAAGAACATGATATATAAGAACAATCTCATATGATAGCAACTATTGTGCATATATAGAGTTTGGTAAATAAAATTGTACTTGTTGTAATCACTTCTTGCTATTTTAAATAAATTATTGTGCTAAATAAATGATTCGCAAATCCTTCACTTCGCAAAACGTTATTTACATAAAAACAATGAAAGGTGGATGAATGACTTGCTTTTATCGAGGTGGAGCAGTGCTATGAATGACCTTTTGGGTTCAGGTTGACTTCACAAATATCTAAAGTTTCACACTTGCTAATTAGAGCCAATGGATTAAGTTTTTAGGTTTCATTAGTATTTATTTGTTTGTGTTAATTATGCTAACCTATTTGTAAAATGGATTACTTTTACTCCAAATATGTATTTGTGTTATTTGGATGAGTTGATCATACATTTTAAAGGCAATATTACTCTGACTGAACATGAATTATGAATGTTTACAGAGACTCTGTCAAAAGAAATGCCACAAGCCTCAATTCTGCGATTCTCATGTGTGAAAATGAAGATTATTCAAGGCTTTAAGCAGGAGGCTGTTGCTTCATAATCTGCCATGTTTTCGACTGTTACAAAATGGCTTTAGTTTTGCTTTAGATGAGGAAGCCACTATATGTCGTTATATTTTTTGTTTAGAAAACATATTATTAGTTATAACTGGGCACTAAAATACACGGTTGTGCCTAATTAAAATGTCTAGGCAATTTACTGAGGTAAAGTTGTTCTACATTCTGACTTACTCCTTAAAATAATTCCTGAAAAGTATTGTTTGCAAATTCTAAATAGAAGAATCATATTAGCAGCCAATGACTATCAAAAGCACAACATTGTTCACAGTCAATTAAACAGTGCTAATGTTGTTTTCAAGTCATGCATGCCATTTCAGGCCGAATATTCAAAGTAGGCTAAACAATATAGACCGTGTCACAGCGAATATGCGAATATAAACCAACTTTAATTATATGCTACAAGTAGAATATTGAGGTAATCTTAAGTTTAGCCTATTATAGTAAAGTATTGCATATAACTATGAAATATTAGTGACATAAGTGCACTTGAAGGGAGTGAAATTTTCATGACTTGTGTCAAGATATTATTTTTATTTGATGGTCTTCGTTCACTTGCTAACACTAAATTCTGTCATGAAAACTATGACTATATCATTAGCCTAGATTGCCATAATACTCTGTAATTCCGTTCAAAGTGTAAGGAATGGTCGTTTGCACCCACTAAGTGAAAATCCCGAGAGAACACGAACTAATCAGCGCGACGAGAATCGTAAACATTCATAATGACTCGTTCAAAGGAACCGAGATGGGTGAACGGATCCTGAATTCTGACTCACTTAAAAAACAATCCGCCTTGGCTGCGGGAAGAAAAGAAAACTTAAGCAGCCGAGTATATCACAGCTGAATGTTAATGTGTTAACATTTTATAGGGCAGTGTGAATTTAATAACCCTGCTGAAAAAATCCAGCTTAGGCTGGTTTTATTAGTGTTTTGGCCATTTCCATGCTGGTTTCCAGACATTTCCAGGCTGACCAGCTACAACCAGCTTGACCTGGTTTAAGCTGGACATAGCTGGTTTTGGCTGGGCTCCCAGCTTAGCTAGGCTGGTCGAGCTGGTTTTAGCTGGTCATCTCCCAGCCTGACCAGCTAAGACCAGGCTGGAAATGGCCTAAACCAGGCTGGTCAACCAGCTAAAACCAGCCTAGGCTGGTTTAAGCATTTTGTTTCAGTAGGGAAAGTCATTCTAAATGTGTATTTACAAATTTTTAATTAACAACAACGTGTTTTTACTTATATATTTATATTAAAAAGTAGTTAATAACTCACAATTAAGAATTGAAAATGTACTCTTTCACCCTTAAACAGAAACAAAATTTACTTATTTAGTCTTAATCTTAAAGAATTAAACCTACATTTTGAAGAATGTTGGTAACTTGTACCCATTTACATCCATAGTAAGAAAAAGGAACTATGAAAGTGTCTACTGGTGAATGAAGTGATGGCCTGTCCCTTTAAGTAGATTTGTACTTGTTCTAATAATATTTTCACACATAATGCAGAACAACTGTTCTGACACAATTACTAAACGTGTATTAAGTGTCAAACGTCCAGATTTAGTCTCTGACATCTAAATATATGTTGGTGTTTGGTGTCAAAGCTGTTACTATATCGCATGTTTGGAATGTTATTTTGACCCATCAGTATTCAGGACTGGAACTGCACATGGGTAAGATGACAAATAGGACAATTATTTGCACTATTTTTTTACTGAACTGTGAAAATGTCAAATGGTTTGAGATAGCAAAAATAAAGAGAAAATAATATACAAATAGCACGAGAGTGCTTGATCTTCATTTTTGGACACATCTTCATACACTACCAGACAAAAGTCTTGTCGCCTATCTGAGTTTTAGGAACAACAAGTAATAACTTGACTTCCTGTTGATAATTTGGTATAAATGGCTTATATGAAAGGCAAAGGCCTCTAGAATATGCTTATTTTAGCAAAATAAATAATGATCATGGCTTGATTTTTAATCATTCCATTAGGACAGTGAGGTCTGACTTTGCTTAAAAACGGAAGAGAAATAATGTCCAGTATAGAATATAAAGTCATGCTGCAGTGGAGAAAGAGTTAATATTGTGTCTGACTCCATCATGAGCTTGGAGGACTGCATCCATACATCTCTGCAATGACTCAAATCACTGATTAATAAAGTCATCTGGAATGGCAAAGAAAGCGTTCTTGCAGGACTCCCAGAGTTCATCAGGATTCTTTGGAATCATCTTCAATGCCTCCTCCTTCATTTTACCCGGACATGCTCAATAATGTTCATGTCTGGTGACTGGGCTGGCCAATCCTGAAGAACCTTCACTTTCTCTGCTTTCAGGAGCTTTGATGTGGAGGCTGAAGTATGAGAAGGAGCGCTATCCTGCTGGAGAATTTGCCCTCTCCTGTGGTTTGTAATGTAACGGGCAGCACAAATGTCTTGATGCCTCAGGCTGTTGATGTTGCCATCCACTCTGCAGATCTCTCGCACACCCCCATACTGAATATAACCCCAAACCATGATTTTTCTTTCACCAAACTTGGGTCTTCTGCAGTATTTGTGATGATTGGGATGCAGCTCAACAGATGATTCATCAGAAAAATCACCTTCTGCCACTTTTCCAAATGATCAACTAGAAGTCATGTTATTCATTGTTGCTCTTTCAACTGAGATTGACGACTTTTGTCAGGTAGTGTATAGCTATTTATTTGAAATTATGAATACTATTTTTTTTTTCTCCATGTCTTGTTGGACTTGTTAGACATTTTCAATAAACAGGGGTGTTTTGGGCTTGACTGTAAAACAACATCCATAAATCAGCAGTTTTCTGTTTATTGTGATTTTAGCTTCTCTTTCCCTGTGTTTATTTATGCCTTTGAATTGTATTATGTGATCTTGATCTTTCTTCCAACATTTTTTAACCTTGGAAAGTTGGCAAAAGTGACTTTTAAGAACATTTTTAACAGTTTAGAGTGATATATTGTCTGGGTTGGTGTTGTATATTACACTACAAAAAGCTTGTAATAAAGTCCCAGTACATTTTATTTTATTTTACAGACGCATTTCTCTCTAAATTATACATTATATTATTTCAATGTCAATAAAAGTCACTGTGTTAAACTGTAAAGTTGAATTTTCAATATCAAAAGTGGACAGAGATTAACCATCATCTCATTTAGCCGCAGACCTTAGTGCCCCACCAGTGCCAATGTACAGCCATATTGCACTGCTACGAGTGTGATATTGCGTTTAAACAACAGTTCAATGACACAATTGTGTATATAAAAAGAAAATCAAATACCAAGAGCCTAAAAATCCTTTAGTACGAGGACCTACTTTCTTCCACCGCTTAATTCACATCTGCAGCTGACGTCAGAACAGCAGAGGCTGTTGCAACTTCACCAACGTCACTTTACAGCTAGTGTTTGAATGATTCTCTAGCGTAATGTCTAAAGTGATGATAAAACAGCTGATTTTGCTCACATTTTAAGATTATAAGGCTGAACGGCATGAAATATCACAGGGAGATCTCAATAATTAACCCTAAAAAAACCAAAACAAAGCAAACACAACCAGATTACTATGCTGTAAATACAGCACTACAACATACAAAAGAGAGAGATCGAATAAGAAAGTCACTCACCGGTTTTATAATGATTTGATAAGCTGTAGCTTAAAAATACGCTGAGTTTTTCTCTTCTAAGGGCTCATCTTGTGTTTTCTGTCGCCATCTTGTGGGGAAACGTCAACCGTCTTTGCTCTGCTCAGTATGACTGCTCAATGAGTTGAATTCATGAAATTATAAATATAATAGGCACTATCCTTATAAATAAACTGCATAGTTGCAATCTAGGCAACTACATACTCACCTAAAAAGCTTCAAAAGTACATGATGTTGTCCAACAGCTGCAAGATTAGTCAAACTGTAGTGAGTCTATTGATCTGCTGTCACTCTATGTGGGCGGAGTAATACAGAAGGGTGAAGTGGCTGTACGAGTGCTGTTACTATAGGAATATCTTACAGCTATCAGCCAATCAGATTCGAGAACCAGACAGAACTGTTGTAGAAAGATATATTAAAGTCTGGTGTTGTATAATGTCAGTACGTTGTACTTTGACTTATTTCTCAATATATTATTTAAAACTGCTGTACTAAAATGTCAATAAAAGTCACTTTGTTCAACTGTAGAGTTGAATTTACAACATCAAAAGTGGACAAAGCGGAGATCAACATCCCATAATGCAATTCACAACCGCAAATAAACAACGAACTGTTAATTAGCGGATATTTTTCACAGTGTGTCCTACATCATCCCGTACGGCTCCTGTTGGCCCTTTAGCTGCGTCTGTTTGTGACTGAGGGAATGTGTTTTTCTTTTAATTATATTGTGGGATGGGTTGAGCTCTGTCTGACAGAAGGCCTGATCGCTGCTTCTCACTAAGCCCAATAACAAGGCTACGTCGGGTCCCAACTAAAGCCGGCGCGCTGACGAACAAAAGCCAGGAGCTTTAGTCCGGGGGCCGCAAACTGCTGACTCTCACCGCCAGCTAATGCAGCATTCAGTGCTGTCTCCCTGCTGTCGGCCATCCCTCGCTCTCTCTCATCGCCCTCCACACCAGGATGCCCCCCAACAAAGACCGCTGAATTCAGGCAGTGTGTGTCCCCGGAGCCCCTCCTGTCGGCGTTTGGCCCCTGGTCAGTGAGCGTCTGTGCTTCAGGATCTCTCTGTGTGTGTAAGCGCCCGGCTCTGTGATGCTCCAGTGTGTGTGAACGCTGTGATCTGCTCTTCTTCTGCCATGTGTGAGTGTCTGCGAGGGATCTTCCGGGTCAGCTGGACACCCTCTTCAGATGCAGGTGCGTCCGCTCACAGTATACAGACATGTAACAAACACTGTTAGCTGTTTATGTAAATTACACAGCATTCAGCTCAGGGTTCATACACATTTTACTACCTTCTCCAGGACAAACTTTTCATGACCTAATGTTTCATGTGATGTCTACATGTATGTAGTAAATAATAAGAAAAACAATGCATGTTCAACACTGTACAAAAGGCAGTGTTCCACACAATTCCTTCATGTTGTTTCAACACAAATCGATTAATTTAAATGAATTGTTTTTAAAAATGTGGGTTGATTTAAGTTGAACATAAAACAATCCAGTTATCCCACAAAAACCTCAAGAACACTGAAGAAAGTGTTGCATGCTGATCTGTTGCAAACTATTTTTTTGTGTTGAATTTAAACAAACAAATTAAGTTTAATAATGTTCAACTTAATTTGTTTGTTTAAATTCAACACAAATAAATTGTTAACAACCACTTAACGTAAAAAAAAGAGTAAATCCAAGGAATAATCTCTGAATAATTTGTTTCAGTGAATTGTGGTTGACTCAGCTCATAATAAATAAGTAGTTTGAACAAGCATCAAAAAATGCCGGGTTCCACACAATCTATTTGTGTTGGGACAACATGAAGGAATTAAGTTAACTTATTAGTTTTTACAAATGTAAGTGGACTGAACATAAAACAATTTGTCCAAAGTAAAACTCAATAATTGTGTTGCTTCAGCTCATTTTAAATAAGTAGCTTAAACAAATAGCAAACATAATGTTTTAAGTGAAGGAATTACGTTATTTCAGCGTTATGGATGTGACATTTGCAGTGAAATATCCAAACATAAATTCACAGAGAAGGTATATGTTAACATTATATTGAAACATTTATATTTTCCAAAACCACTCACCACAGAGTTATGGGATCAGAAAAATCTCAATCTGTAAACTTTTTTTAGATTTTAAATGAGGAAAATAAATGAATGTGGCGTTATGGATGTGACCAAACTATTCTTTTTAAGAGTTTACAGTAAATTCTTTGGATTAAACTGCACAACCCCAAAAATAATGCTAATCAAAATGATAAGAGTCGGCTCACTATAAAACAAAAATAAATGATTATGTTTTATTTAACATTGTTTGCATTTATGAGGAAAAATATTTGTTATGGATGTGACATTGGCACTTGTGTAACTTTAGTAAATCAAGTATAATTATTTGAAAACATTGACAGACTTATTTTTGAGAATTTTTGCAGTGCTGTAAAATATTTGCTTATTCAAAAAACTTAGAAACAGTAATACTGTAAACATTGCCAGTAATACTGTAAAAATTTACAATAATACTATGAAATTGCTAGTAATACTATAAAAAATTTAATAATACTATAAAAATTGCCAGAAATACTATACAATTGCCAATAGTAGTTTTTAGTTTTTAAAAAATGTAGGTTGATTGAAGTTGAACATAAAACAATCCCGTTATCCCACAAAAACCTCAAGAACTGTGGTGACTCAGCTCATAATAAATAAGTAGTTTAAACAAGCAGCAAAAAATGCCAGGTTCCACACAATCTATTTGTGTTGGCACAACATGAAGGAATTAAGTTAACTTATTAGTTTATACAAATGTAAGTGGACTGAACATAAAACAATTTGTCCAAAGTAAAACTCAATAATTGTGTTGCTTCAGCTCATTTTAAATAAGTAGCTTGAACAAACAGCAAACATAATGTTTTAAGTAAAGGAATTACGTTATTTCAGCGTTATGGATGTGACATTTGCAGTGAAATATCCAAACATAAATTCACAGAGAAGGTATATGTTAACATTATATTGAAACATTTATATTTTCCAAAACCACAAACCACAGAGTTATGGGATCAGAAAAATAGCAATCTGTAAACATTTTTTCGATTTTAAATGAGGAAAATAAATGGATGTGGCGTTATGGATGTGACCAAACTATTCTTTTTAAGAGTTTACAGTAAATTCTGTGGATTAAACTGCACAACCCCCAAAAATAATGCTAATCAAAATGATAAGAGTCGGCTCACTATAAAACAAAAATAAATGATTATATTTTATTTAACATTGTTTGCATTTATGAGGAAAATATTCGTTATGGATGTGACACCTCTGTTATGGATGTGACATTGGCACTTGTGTAACTTTAGTAAATCAAGTATAATTGTTTGAAAACATTGACAGACACATTTTTGGGAATTTTTGCAGTGCTGTAAAATATTTGCTTACACAAAAAGCTTAGAAACAGTTTATCTATATTGCTGAAAACCTCATTTTTGTCATGGCAAGGTTGACATTTGCATGGAATTGCTAAAAGACAACTAACTGATATTCAAGTATGCAGATATCTGTTAAACTAACTTTCATAACTTTTCCAAAACCTTGTGGGTCCTGTTTTTCAAAAATTTTCCAAACCTGGAAATTGCATGTCAAAATTCCATGACTTTTCCTTTTTTTCCATGAGCGTATAAACCCTGTTAATTGTAATATGAACTGTACTTTACTGTAGGGCAGTTATGCAGTGTGTTACTGTATTTTAAAGTTGCACTGTGAAAATGACTGCATATTTTACAGTAAAGATATACAGTACTGTAAATACATATACAGCACATTAACTGGTATTGAAAATGCAGGATGTTTGCTGTAAATGATTTACAGGTAATTGGAAACCGCTGCCACTTACTTAATTAACCTGATTAAACCTTTAAATTGCACTTTAAGCTGAATATTAGTGTCCTGCAAAATAACTAGAATAGTACTGTCATCATGGAATTAAAGAATTAATATTTCATCGAAGAGCTAATAATTTGGTTCGGTGTATGTCACAAGTGCATTTTGTAAATTTAAGAAATTTTAGGAAGCTTTTCATTCAGAAATTACTTTTTTTAAATGTTCTTCAGACTGAAAAAAAAAACATTTTAAAACATTTGAAAGTTTAAAAGCTTACGTCAAATCCAATAAACATAAAATGAGCACTAAACAAAATATATTTAAAATAAACTGTAAAAATTACCTGTAAAATTTACAGTTTTACTGTCAATTTTGGTTGTGAATTTGGCCAATAATACTATAAAAAGTGCCAGTAATACTATAAAATTGCCAGTAATACTATATAATTGCCAGTGGTACTATAAAAATTGTTAATAATACTGTAAAAATTACCAGTAATACTATAAAAATTGCCAATAATACTGTAAAAATTACCAGTAATACTATATAATTGCCAGTAATACTATAAAAATTGCCAATAATACTGTAAAAATTGCCAGTAATACTATATAATTGCCAGTAGTAATATAAAAATTGTTAATAATACTGTAAAAATTGCCAGTAATACTATATAATTGCCAGTAGTAATATAAAAATTGTTAATAATACTGTAAAAATTGCCAGTAATAGTATAAAAATTGCCAATAATACTGTAAAAATTACCAGTAATACTATAAAAATTGCCAATAATACTGTAAAAATTGCCAGTAATACTATATAATTGCCAGTAGTAATATAAAAATTGTTAATACTGTAAAAATTGCCAGTAATAGTATAAAAATTGCCAATAATACTGTAAAAATTAACAGTAATACTATAAAAATTGCCAATAATACTGTAAAAATTGCCAGTAATACTATATAATTGCCAGTAATACTATAAAAATTGTTAATAATACTGTAAAAATTACCAGTAATACTGTAAAAATTTCCAATAATACTATAAAATTGCCAGTAATACTACACAATTGCCAGTAGTACTATAAAAATTGTTAATAATACTTTAAAAATTGCCAGTAATACTGTAAACATTGCCAGTAATACTGTACAATTTGCCAATAATACTATGAAATTGCCAGTAATACTATAAAAATGGCCAGTAATACGATAAACATTGCAAATAATACTGTAAAAATTGCCAATAATACTACAAACATTGCAAGTAATACTACACAATTGCCAGTAATACTATAGAAATTGCAGCGAAGCAGTGGCGCAGTAGGTAGTGCTGTCGCCTCATAGCAAGAAGATCGCTGGGTCACAGGTTCGAGCCTCGGCTCAGTTGGCGTTTCTGTGTGGAGTTTGCATGTTCTCCCTGCATTTGATTGGGTTTCCTCCGGGTGCTCCGGTTTCCACCACAGTCCAAAGACATGCGGTACAGGTGAATTGGGTAGGCTAAATTGTCCATTGTGTATGTGTGGATGTTTCCCAGAGATGGGTTGCGGCTAAAAGGGCATCCACTGCGTAAAAACGTGCTGAATAAGTTGGTGGTTCATTCCACTGTGGCGACCCTGGATTAATAAAGGGACTAAGTATGTTTTACTAGTCTAAAAATGCTTCTTGGTTCATTATTGTTATTATTTTTAGGGATATTTGTACTAGAAACAAGTCAAAACCTCTTCTTAAATAAGTTGTAATTAAGGAATTTTGAAGTTATTATCTTGAGCAGGATTTCAGTGGTAAATATAGACAAGATACAACACTGTGACAGTACACACAAACACGCATTACTCTGCTTTGTCATGTGATCACATTAGTCACATGACACTGAGGGCAGCTGTTTGCTTCAGATTGTTGGCAGTGTGTTCTGCTGATTGGTGAATTCGCCAGTAAACTGGACACCTCACCTTGTGCAGCAGCTCCAGCGCATTCAAACACACATCGAGCCACTAATCCTACTGTTTTGTATTGAAACAATGGCAGCATTAGGAACCGAAGCCCTCTGAATGCTGCCCGGCTACAGGATTCAGTGCTATTCTGACCCCGCGGATCCACCTGCATGTCACGCTGTAGGGATAATGAATTTTGGCAGCGTCTTGTGACCTGTTTGAGCTGTTTAGGCATCACCCGGATCACTTTGCACATGGGCACAAGGCCCAAACAACAAGCAGACACACCTCAGTGTTGGACAGAAATCAGCCGTGCTCGAGACAACAGACACAGACAACAGCTGCCAGACCACAAAAAGACAAACTGCAGTTTTTCCTAAAAATTAAAATTAAACATG